ATTTGTTATAAATGAGTTCCATTGAACTGCTTGTTCAATAAAAGCTGTCTTTCTAACAATGAGGTGTGACCTTCCTACTTAACCACAGCTCCTTATGACCCTTATGGGTGAGGGCCAGGACACCAGTGTTATGGCAGCATCACTTACTCCTTCCCTGGACTCATAAATGTCAAGTACCAGGTCCCTGGTATCTGGTAGGACACAGCCTTGGGAATGTGGTCCCCTATATTAGTCCAAGGAAGGCTAGGAGTGGTCGTAGGCAGCCCATGGGGCGTGCAGGGACCTTGCAGTTGGGTGCTACCATCTCCAGGGCCATTAGGATTGTGGAGTACTAGCAAAGCAAACTAACACTAAATATCCTTCCCTTCCCTAGTGCTAGCACAGCAAAGTGTTAGTAACTATCCCATCTGACTCATCTGTCCTCAGGGGAATTTAAAGTGGGACATGCCATGTTCTTTCTTGTGGGGATGGACAATGGGGACCACCCTGGAGACTTCTCCTGGGCCATTAAGAGGCATGGGGGTTCTAAGGTGGTCCCAGAGAAGACTTTTCCTCAGTAAAGTCTGTTATTTCTTCTGTCTGTGGTATGTAGCTCTTGGACACACTGGGCATGTAGTGCAGCTTGAGGAGGCACCGTGTCAAGTGCCAGAATCATGGAGCTTTGAGTTGCTATGCTGTGGCATTCCAGCTGGCAGACATACTCTAGCAGTATGCCAAGCATGGCCGAGTAGAAGAAAGGTAAGGAGATGGCAGATGTCCATGGTCTGTTCCTACTGGGAAGACAATGCCTGTGAAACTAACTGGCCCTCCTGAGGTTGAACTGACCAGACCTGCAATGGCCTAAACCAGGGGCGGGCAATTATTTTGGGCAGAGGGCCACTTACTGAGTTTTGGCAAGCCATTGAGGGCTGTGTGACAGACAGTCAGGGACAGATAAATATTAATTTTATAAATTTTTAGGGGCCCCACAGGCCAGATAGAATGGCCTGGCAGGCCACATCTGGCCCACAGGCTGCATTTTGCCCATCCCTGGCCTAAACAGAAGCCTAAACATGCCCATAAACTCTGTTGTTGCCATTTGGCTGTCTTCAGAAACCCCTGGGAGTTGCGGTCAAGCGGCATGCTGAAATGTCTAGCTCTGGAGTCAATTGCTGCTCATTATGAAAGGGCTTTAGTTGGGAGGGGCCTGAATCTTTGTATAGTCTTGACATGGTTTGTATAATGTCTGTTCAAACCCATTAATATGCTTAAGCATTGACTCTTCTGTTTATGAAAAGATTTATTGTGCTTTGAAACGTATTCTGGATTTTTTACTGAAGATAAGTAGATACTTTACGAGTTGGTAGGAGTTCAGATACCTCCAAATTAGAAATCCAGTTACATTTTTATAGTTCGTCAGAATACTGATCCATTGGATGAAATGTCTCTCTAATCTTTAAAATGTTATATATATATAACATATTGAAAATTAAGTTTTTAGTCAAAATTATAGCACAAACTGTTTTTTGTGAGCTGTCAGCACCTAGCAATTAAACTGTTTTCTGTTAAATGCTTCTTATAGAATTACCTTTTAAGCATGTAAGCCTAATATGCATTGGTGTTAAATAATAATTTTGTAGAATTTAGTCTTATTTATTTTGTCAACTAATTTTAAGCAAAAATCACTTATTATATCAAATTGCTTAGAGTAGCAACATTATTTATGTAGGTTGAAACAAATATCTCTAACTTCATTTCATGAATGTTGATTTAAATTTTAGATTCAAGAAAGAGTTCCAGACTATTAATCTACCCTAATCACTTGTTTAAAGATCATATGAAATCAGCATATAATGAAATGTATACTTGAGGCCACCTTTTAGAATAAATGTCTACCATAAATGCACTTTCAAAGCTTTACTTCTCAAAGATTATGATAATCTTTTGAGTTCTCTTTTCTGGGACACTACGTTATGAGCTTGTTAAAGACCAGGAGGCACTTTCCAAAGAATTAGTACTCTAGTCTTTTTTCCTTTTAGGTTTTCTTCAAGGTTTAAGTTTTCTAAAAGATACTGTTTGCATACGATGCCCTTTTACATCAGTATGCAAGTTTTATCAGTATTTAATTTTAAAAACTTATACATTTCTTAGTCTCAGTAACACCAACAAAGCTTTTGTGATGTCACTGGGAAAAGTTGAGTGTGACACGTCTGCATGGCACAGTGTGGTGCTGTGAAGAAATATTGGAGCTAGCTTAGGTGGTGGAAGCAGCGTAGTGCAGCACTGCACATAGGCCAATTAGAATGAAAAGAGGAGTTACTTTACGCTGATGGAGCTCCAAGCTCACATTACTGCTCTAGTGCTAGTACCTATTCCTAGCTTGGGTATCTCTGTATAGTACTGCATTGTGCCATGAAGATGCACCCACTCTAGAGATGTGTTGAGAGAGATGCTTTTGTGGCAATGGCACAGGATAGAGACTTAGCTACAAATTCTCATTCAGATTTAGATTTCTTGTAAGATACTGAGCTAGGCTTTTATGGTAGAATTTTTAGATCAGGGAGGAGCTACATAGTGTGGGATGCTTGGAGGACTGAGTAGACCTGTCACAGAACACTTGGCGTCTGCATGTAACACTGACATGTGGGCACAAGTAGCCTACTGCATGCTGCAGAAGGAATCTGGGGGAATTTCAGCATAGCTTGTGAGTGCACCTGGAGGGCAGATCCAGAATAGGTTATCCAAGTAGAATTTTTAGAAGTGTGTGGGTCAGGGCAAATAGGAGGCATGAGAGTATTAAAGGTCAAAATGGGTTATTAGTAATGGAGTTTATTAGTGACAGGGATGATGGTCACATCCTCCGCACATGGTTTAGGAGTCCAGGAATAAAGACTATTTTGAAGGAGCTTGAAGGATAATCTGGAAAGGGTGTGAGGAGGCATCATGGTTCTGGGAAGATTAGCCACTGGGTCTTTTCAAAGCATTTTTGGGGAGCATCACTGGCATTTGAGAAATCACGATGTCAGCATAGCAGCCCTCGGGTTGAACAGAACAGAGTAGTGCACCTTAAAAATTCTTTAAAAAGAAATTATAAAGAACAATAGATGCTTTCTGAGTGATTCAGGCAAACTTGTAAATTGGGGAACTTTTTTAATGGTATAATACACATTGGAGTGATGGTCCTGTATCACTTTCTTAGAGTCAATTGAAAACAGATTGTTTGTTTATTTCAGAAGATACTGTATAGCTCAGCTTTGTCATTGTTTCTGCGATGGTTGGAGCTAAATGATTTTGAATTTTGGTTCAGTTCCTTATCTCATTGTTAAAATATGATGGCAATATTTTGGCACAAGTTAAGCAGGTATTACTAATATTCATTTTTGTTTTTTAAAAAAGCTTTCTAACTTTATACAGTGGACTTCTAACCTACCCTTTTTTCCTAGTATTACCCAAAATCCTAGCATGAAGGAACCATATTCTCTGAAAATGAAAAATAATTCCAAATTCTTTATAGGTAGGAGTGGAAACACAGAATCTGTTTACACTGCAGAGCAATACACCCAAGCAGGGACACCTCTGAGCAACAGGAGACTTGAGGCTTGAGAGCAACTACTAGGGATGCTCTTGGAGTGGCCTTACTATCATATTTCTAGAGCAGCAATTCTCAAGCAGGGTGCCAGGACACCCGGGGTGCCACATGATCCTTTGAAGGGTGCCAAAAGGTCTAAGGAAATCATCACTGATTCATCAGATAAGTTCAGGCCTAGGCTCAGTCCTTGCCTTCCCATTCCCCTGGCCCCAGGGTCTGGCTTCTGTGCAAGGAGGTAAGCCCTATAATAAATTAGTTCTTGAACTGGGGGCCTTCCATTTCACAAAAGTTATATTCAGGGTACCCCTCCATAAAAGGTGAAGAACCACTGTTGTAGAGTTTGCAAGGGGGAATAGGTGGGCTGGGCATGTTTAGGAGCATCCCTTCTGAGACACACTATCACTTAGCGTATCTGTATGTCACGTCTTGGAATTCTGTAAGCAGTGCTGGTCTTAACAATTTAAAAACATGTTAATAAATATATAAAGGGGTGATTGAGAAAAGATGTAGTAAGAAACTGAAATAATTACATTGTACGCAAAAGGGCAACTGTCATTTTCTTAATGCTTTTGCTAGGTGTTTTTGCCATCACTTAAATTATTAAAGACAATGTTAATATGCAATCTAACGTTTTCTCTTGTTTGTTTTAATGTATTCCTTGATTGTTTTAGAGCATATACTGAAGTTTGTATTGTGTCCTGGTAAAAGGTGTTTCAGTTAAGAGATTTACTTTTGGGATCCAATTGTCTCTGTTATCTTTTTATGAACTAACAGTAACTGGGATTGATTGTTGAACTTGATGAAAAGCTTTAAATGTGATGCTTTTTTTAATCCAAGCTTTTCTTATTTGCATAATTGCCATGGCCCAAATTCTATATAAAGTGCTGCACAGATGGACCCCCCTGAATTTAGTGGGATTTCATGCACTTGAGGAGTTGGCTTATATGATTCTCTTTGCATGATGAGGTCCTGTGTGTGTTTAAAGTATTACATGGGGGAACTGTCTCTTGAAGGGAAAACAATTCTCTTTATAAGTACAGTAGTATCTGGTAGCTCATTTTCTCATATTGGACAGTATCTTCAATATCTTTCCTACCTTTGTTGCTATCCGTTATCTGTTATCCATTAGTGTCATAGTTCCAGAGCTGCTTAAATTGATCTGTTGCTTTGTAGTAATAGTAAGCCTCTGCTTAATTTTAGGTTAAGTGGAAATATTTTGGGCCAAATTGATCCTGCATGTTGTTCCATTTATTTAGTCTTGTACCCGGAATGAGTGTGGTCCACTTATAGCAATAATGCCTTTAAAATAGAAAAAAAAACTTTGGAAGTTTAGAGTGGTTATTTAGTGTTGAAATTTCTTTTCTTTGCATAGCCAACCTACAGTAAAGGAAATGTTGCAGACCATTTTATTTTTCTCTTGTTTATTGTTTAGTATCAGCGATGCAAACTATGGGACAGATTACATGAAGAGCACATCAATGCAGGACGTACTGTTCAGGTAAGAATGCTACAGAAGCTGCATGAATGTAATGGAGCTAAATAATTTATCTGCTGCTCACTGAGATGGGGGATTTTGATAGGGGTTAATATGTGACAGGTATCTGTCATTTTAAAGTAGGGGGTGTCCCAGGTAGGGATGTGAATGGTTAAATAATTAATCATTTAACTGATAAGCCCAATGATAACTGGTTATAACTTACTGGTTATCATTTAGTGCGAGCGCAATCTGGCAGGGAAAGGGTGAGAGGGAAGCCACGCAGGAACCAGAAGGCAGCATGGGAGGGAGGAGTGAGGAGGAGGAGAGGTAGGCTCGATGGACCTTGATGCTGATGTTTGCAGCTTCCCTGCCACTTGCCATGAGCAGCCTGGTAGGTCTGTGTGAAGCTTTGGTTGCTGATTTGATTCGGCCTGATTCGGTGGCTGAATCTCCAGATCCAAATTGAATCAAGAGACTCTTTAATCAGATATAGACACAGCTTTAAGTGTTTTTTTCTACGTACCTCAAGGTACCAGGAGGCTTGTGAATGCTGAGATGCTGGGGTGGATGGAGTATCCCACAGGGGGGTCCCCAGCACTCTCAGCAGTGGACCTGGAAGTGGATCAGAAGCACTTCTGGTCCACTTCTGGGTTTGCCGCTGAGCACGTGGGGGACCCCTGCACTCCTGTGGGGCGCTTTATCCACCCCAGCATTGCAGCATTCAACGAGGCGTGCCTGGTACCTCGAGGTATGTAGAAAAAACATTTAAAGCTGTGTGTATGGCTGAATCTCTGATTCTCCAAATCAGCATCGAGTCTTCAGGTTCAGACGAATCGAATTGGGACAGTGATCCGAGTCAACTAATTGAATCGCTGTCCCTGATTCGGGCCAAATCCAAATCAAGTATGGCCTGTTTCGCACACCCCTACAGCCTGGGCTCCAGGCAGGCCCCTGCTGCTCACAGCAGGGAGGCTGCAAGAGGCTGCACCAAGGTCCACGGAGTCTAGCTATTAATTACTAGCCCCCTTTCTCCCTGCTGTCTCCCACCTGCTGTTCTGTCCACAAAGAAAGCAGCTCAGCTCCCTCTCTGGGGAGTGTGGAAGTCAGAGGCCACCTGCCACAGGCTGCAAGGGGCCCAATCCTGAAAATTAAAAATTGAAAAAGATGTCCCCAAGTGGGCCAGGCCAGGGGTTGCCATACAGATTAATAGTTTAACCATTGCAATTACAAGTTAAATTGATATTTTTTAAATTGATATTTACATCCCTAGCCCCAAAACATGGCTTCAGAAGCAAGTGTTGTCACTGCTTTGACTCCTTGTAACTGCAGAAAGAGCAACTCTGTTCAACTATATGGTTTATTGGTCATAAACCTAGTCAAGGCATGTACAAAGTAAATTATATGCTGTGCACCATGTTGAATCCCAGCAACAGAAGGAGTTGGTGACACTGAGAGCCAACAGCCACACAGGCTACAGGAGAGGTTGAGTGGAATTGGTTTTGGGGAGAAGAGAAAGAAACCTTGATTGCTTTAGGGTGAGGGTTTGAGCTTTGTGAGCTGGATCTTGTTGCCATATTACAGTGCTGTATAGGGGCAGTGAGCTATGAAGAGTTGCTGAGTTGTTAATGCACATTAATAGGGAGCTGGGTTATCATAGGCCAGCCAGAGTCCTAGTAATGTAAAGAATAAGTGACACCATTAACATTACTTTCCGTTACTGTTTGTGCCTGCTCCTCTGTGGACTTGGTTCAGGTGGGGTTCTGACCTCCAGTTGTTCCTCCGAGGTTCTGGTCTTTGCAGGGAGTGTTGCCTTCATGTCCTTTCTAGTGAGCAAGTGGGGGAAGTACACCTGGTATGAGAGGTGCTTGTTGGTGTATTCTCTCAGGAAAAATATAAAAGTCACTGAAAAAGCAAGTGACTAGACTAAGCTGTATCTGTGAACAAAAGGACTTCATTGATATAGAGTACAAAAAGACCTCCAAGATTGTGGAAGAGATTTAGCCAATGAAGAGTGCAAGGAAAGAAGAAGAAGCAGAACTGGATGCTGAGGACTGTGGAAGCCAGCAGTTGGTCACCTTTGGCAACAGACAGTGCTCCATCTCCCAGCTGTCATTGTTGAGAAGTACAGATGCACCTTAGAGGCTCTTCCACCCTAGAGGCTGGGAGGAGGAAAGCCACTACTCCCAAGTGGAAGTGAGGGATGGGAGGGCAGGGACAGCTTTGTGGGGCCTGGGCACAGCAGAGCTGTGATCTGCTCCCCGTATGTCCCTGTGATGAGCACCAAATCCGTGGGCAGGGATGTATAGGAAATGTATCATGTCTCTGCCCTGGGCTCCAGTCCTGTTCTGTCACCACCCTGTGATCCTGGCCAGGGCCTGGGCCTGCCTGCCCATCCCAGTCCTGGATGCCACTCCCCATCTTCCTGTGGCCCCATCCCCTCTGGCCACATGCACTCTGCCTGTGGGGGTTCCAGGTCAGTCTCCATGGAGACCTCACCTGCTCCGCCCAGTACTCCTGGCTGTGGGTGTGGGGCTGATGGGCTAGGGTGCCCGGGCAGTGGGGTTGGGGCTGGCAGGGATGATGGAGACACTGGCAGCAGCAGCCAGACAGAGGGAGCTGCTGCCACAGGGGCTACCAGGAAGCTGAGTCCAGCCACTGAGCTGCCCCTGCCCCGCTGGATGCCTGGGGAACAGCAGGATCAGCTGCACACACCACGGCCTGGGCTGCCCCTTGTATCTGGGTCAGGCATGGCTGAGTGGACTTGCCACGGAGCTGAACAGAATTCCTTGGCAGGCTGGATCCAGCTCGCAGGCTGTATTTTGTCCTCTTCTGGGACAGAGGCATCCATCTGCCAACCTGACCCGTTGTCTCCAGAGTTCTGTTGCTTCTAGGCATCAGAATGCAAGATATTATGGAAAGGTTGTCAAGGTTCATCTGGTCTCTGACTACTACCCTATCCATGTGGGCACTAAGGATACTGCCAGCTGTGAGCTTGAGCAATTCAAAAGTGACTACAGAGCTTTGCATGCAAAGGTGAAAGGGATAGGTTTATCAGCCTTTCCAGTCAAGAGGCAGATCCAGGGATGGGTGTGTGGGATTAGGTTGCACCTCCCTTTGGCTGTGTGGCAGGCACAGTGTGCTCTCTGAACTCATTGACTTGTTGATGCAGCTCATGCCCTGAAACTGGAGGGATAAACTTGTAATTCACACTGAGTGTCTGTTGGTGCGTGGGTCTGGACTAAATGGTATCATTGGGCCAAGCTGTGCCTGAGGCTGGCAGGGAGGGGGCTCACTTTCAAATATGGCTACCTAAATTCCCAGATTATTAATGTGAATGTTCAAATCTAATTTTAGATATATAAATTCCCATTTCGTTTGTGTATATGACAAATAACCTATTGCACGTTATGAACCACTGGCTTAGATAACTAGACTCTGCAGGCTCAGGTGATATTAATAGGACTTAAGGACCAGACAATCATAAAGTCATTGCAGGACTGCTGGCAAACCTCTTTGAGAATTTGTCCTACTCAGGAGAGGTCCCAAAAGACTGGAAGAGGGCCAGTGTTGTGCCCATCTTCAAGAAGGGGAGAGAGGACCCAGGGAACTACAGGCTGATCAGCCTGACCCTTAATCCCAGGAAAAATCCTCGATAAATTTCTCAAGGGTTCCATATGCAATAAGCTAGTAGAAGGCAAAATTCTGAATGACAGCCAGCACGGTTTTGTCGTGAGTAGGTCATGTCTGACTAACCTTATCTTCTACGACCAGGTTACTCACTGCCTGGATAAGGGAGATGAGGTCAATGTCATTTACTTGGACTTTAGGTGGGCCTTTGACTTGGTATCCTGTGATGCTCTCAAGGTAAAACTAGGGGACTATCGGCTCACCAATTCAACGGTCAGATGGGTGGGAAACTGGCTGTGGGGTGGTACCCAGAGAGTACTAATAGACAGACCTGTGTCAGCCTGGCGGAAGGTAGCCAGTCGGGTCCCTCAGAGTTTGGTACTTGCACCAGTACTTTTCAATATCTTCATCAATAATCTGGATGTGGGGGTGAAAAGCACACTGGCCAAGTTTGACAATGACACCTAAGTTCTGGGGAAGTGCGGCCATGCATCAGGGTAGGCTGGTGATCCAGGCAGACCTAGACAGATTAGTTAGGTGGGCAGACCAGAACCAGATGCTGTTCAACACTGAGAAGTGTAAAGTGCCCCATCAGGGGAGGAAAAATCTGCAACAAACCTACAGGCTTGATGGTGCTACGTTAGCTAGCACCATGTCCGAAAGGGACTTGGGGGTCATAATTGACCATAAAATGAATGTGAGCCATCAGTGTGATGCTACAGTTAGCAGAGCAAACAATATGCTGGCATGTATCAACTGATGCATCTCAAGCAAAACTAAGGAAGTTATTCTCCTGTTCTGCTTGGCATTGGTGAGGCTGCAGCTGGAGTCCTGCATCCAGTTCTGGGTGCCACACTTCAAGAAGGATGTGGGGAATCTTGAGAGAGTCCATAGAAGAGCCACTTGTATGATTAGAGGTCTGAAGAGCAAGCCATATGAGGAAAGGCTGACAGATATGGGACTGTTCAGCCTAGAAAAGAAAAGAATTTATGGGGATTTGGTGGCAGCTTACAAATATATCAGGGGAGAGAATGAGGGGCTAGGTGAAGAACTATTCACCCAAGCACCTCAGGGAAAAACCAGGAGCAATGGTCATAAACTCCTAGAAGGTTTCAGACTGGATATAAGGAAAAACTTCTTTGCAGTTCATATGACCAGACTCTGGAATAGACTCCCAGTGTGAGTGGTGCAGGCCTCTACCCTGAAGATCTTCAAAAGGAGACTGGATGCACACCTTGCTGGGGTTATTTGACCCCAACAGTCTTTCCTGCCCAGAGCAGGGGGGCTGGACCTGATGATCTCATGAGGTCCCTTCCAGTCCTAAACTTCTGTGAATCTGTGACTGTCATGATGGAAAAAATGATACACAGTAAAGTATATGTGAAAGATCACAG